AAAGGTCAGGAATGACCGGAGAAAGGTCATCGAGCAAAGACTGGACCAAATCCCTTCAAAGTCTGGTCATGAGACCACAGAACCAAACACATAGAAACCATGGAAGGCCGGTACAGGTCTCAGATGACCCTGGAAGGCCATGGATAGGGTGGATTAGGGTGGCGGCGGCTAGGGTTTGGGTGGTGTTGTAGAGAGAATTTGGGAGAGGAGGGATTCAGAGGCGCGGGTGGTTACAAATGAAAGGGTTTGGGGGTAGTTCGGGATTAATTAAGGCAAGGTATAATAGTGGTCGTTGATCTGAATGATCAACGGCCTAGATTAGAAGGGGTAGGTGGGTCGGTTTATGAAATTGGGTTTGGGCCGGTTTAATTTGCAATTGGGTCGGGGTTCAATTGGGGTCAGAATTGGGTTATAATTGAAATGAAATTAGGCCATTATTTAAATAGCCAATTTTTCCTATTTAATTTATAAAAAAAATAATAAATTAATTTCGGGAAATAAATTGAAGGTACTAAAATAATTTATGACATATAATTAGCCATTTAAAAATACAGGACTTAATCTCTATGAATATAAACGTAACTAATCCTAAAAGAGGCTAATGTTGCAATTATACAATTTTAGCCTTAAAAAAAATACTAAATAATTTTGTAAAAATATGCAAAAAAAATTCCCTTAGCTATATTTTAGCATAAACATAAAAGTTCAACAAGTGAATCACCAAAACTGATAGTTTTAGAAATAATTATTGGATTTTTATGGATAAAATAGGGGAATAAATTGATTTAAAAATCTTTAAAATTAAGGAAAAATAATGGAACACTTGAATATACTTATATGCATACATATGCCATTTTGAAGGTACTTTGTATATTAAAATATATATAGGAAAAAATTGGGTATCAACACTTCTGCTATTTTGGGATAAGCGAAATTGACCACTCCGGGAATCGAGCAAGCAGAGCCTGAACCTTCACCACGTATTGTTGCATGCGCTCCTCTTTGGTTTCGAAGATCCTGTAGACCTGATTTACCACCAGCTGGGAGTCGCATTTGATTTTTATGACCTCGGAATCTAGTCCCCGGGCCAATTCGAGTCCTGCAATCAAAGCTTCATACTCTTCTTTGTTGTTAGTCAAAGGGACCGTTTTTATGGCCTATCTTAGGGTTTCCCCCGACGGCGTGGTTAATACTATTCCAAGCCCAGACCCCTTTACGTTGGAAGCTCCATCCCTAAATAAGGTCCAAAATCCTGATGTCGATTCTAACACCATCACTACTTCTTTGGTTGCGAGAGGCTGCAATCCCGGACTGAAATCGGCCACAAAGTCGGCCAGAACTTGTGACTTAATCGCAGTCCTAGGTTTATACTCTACATCGAATTTACTCATTTCGACGGCCAAGTTTTCCAATCTACTCGAGATTTTGGGTTTGTGAAGGATATTCCGCAAGGGAGGTCGTCACCACAGCTATCAGGTGACATTGGAAGTAAGGCCTCAGCTTCCAAGCAGCGACTACGAGAGCTAAGGCCAGCTTCTCCAAATGTGAGTAGCGAGTTTCTGCTCCCGTTAAAATTCTACTAACGTAATAAATGGGATATTGCGTACCTTCATCCTCGCGGACTAAAATGGTGCTTACCGCTACCTCCGAGACTGCTAGTTAGATTAACAGTGTTTCACCTTCCTTCGGCTTTGATAGTAACGGAGGGCTTGACAAGTACCTCTTCAAATCCCTCAAAACCTGCTGCATTCTGGGGTCCATTCGAAGTTGTTTTTCTTTTTGAGCAGCACGAAGAAACGGTGGCATTTCTTTGATGACCGGGAAATGAACCTACTCAAAGCAGCCAATCTCCCTGTGAGCCTTTGAACTTCTTTCACGCTTGATAGCTGGTCCGGGATGTCTTCGATGGCTTTGATCTTGTCGGGGTTTACCTCAATTCCCTCTTTGTGATACCAAAAATCCTAGGAACTTGCCAGAGCTGACCCCGAACGCGCACTTCTCGGGGTTAAGCTTCATGTTATGTTTTCTTAGGATGTCAAAAGTTTCTTGCAAATGCTTAGGGTGATCACCTGCGTTCAAAGACATAACAAGCATATCGTCTACATAAACTTCCATAGTTTTCCCTATCTTTTTTCAAACATCTTGTTTACGAGCCGTTGATAAGTGGCTCCGGCGTTCTTTAGCCCGAAGGGCATCACATTATAGCAATATGTGCCAAAATTCGTTATTAACGAATTTTTTTCCTGATCATCCGGGTTCATCTTAATTTGGTTGTACCTGGAATAAGCATTAAGGAAATCATTAACTCATGCCCGGTCGTTGCATCAATGTTTGGTGGTGGGAAGGAATCCTTTGGGCACGCCTTATTCAAGTCCTTATAATCTACGCACATGCGAAATTTATTGTTCTTCTTGGGCACTACTACTACTTAGCTAGCCAGTATGGATACTTCACCTCTCGGATCGAACCGATATCAAGTAGGCAAATTACCTCTTCTTTAACGAATTTATTCCTAGCCTCCGTAATAGGGCATTTCTTTTGTCTTACCGGAGGGATGCTGGGATCCAAGCTTAACTTGTGTACAGCCACTTCTGTTGGGATACCTGTCATATCCGCATGCGACCATGCAAAACAATCAGCATTATACTTAAGAAATTCAACAATATTCATAACTAAGCTCGGGGTGCAATCCAGTCCCTAAGTGGAATTTCCTCTCCAAAAACTTTTCAAAACATGCAACTTGTTCGAGATCTTCCGTTGTGGACTTCGTTGCATCCGTCTCTTCTGGTACCTGGAAATATCTTGGCACCTGATAAGATTCCGATGCCTTTTCCCCCTGGTTACCTTCACTTAATTTTGGAGCAAGCGTTCCTGTAATTGCTATGCCGCATTCTCCTTCCCTTTGCTACTGGAGACTGAAATCATATTCATCTCCCTTACCGCTAGTTGATCGCCTTTTATCTGTTTGATCCCTTAGGGAGTTGGGAATTTTAGCAACTGATGATATGTTGATGGTACGGTTCTCATCTCGTGCAACCAAGGTCTTCCCAGAATAATATTATAACCCATATCAACAACCACAACCTCGAAAACGGTTGTCTTTATCACCCCCTCGGCATTTATGGGCAGCAAGATCTCTCCTCGGGTCGTTACGCTTGCGAGGTTAAACCCGGCGAGGAGTTTTGTGGCCGGAATGATGCTTCTAGTAAGTTTGGCTTGCTCCAATACCCTCCATTGTATGATATTGGCCGAACTTCCTAGATCCACCAGAACACATTTGATTTTAAAATCTAGTACATTTAAAGAAATTACCAATGCATCGCTGTGCGGTAGCAACACTCCGCCTGCATCCTCCTCCGTGAAAGTGATGTCGTCTTCAGCAACTTCCCGGAGTCTCTTCTGTGGGTTACTGATACCTTCGTCTTTTTTGCTCCGCGGTATCACGGTTGCGACCGTAATTATTCTTGGCCCAGTCACTTAAGAATTCCCTGAGATGGCCATTTTGTAGTAATGTCGCCACCTCTTCACACAGATGACGGCAGTCCCCAGTCCGGTGGCCATTTGTCCCGTGGTATTCGCACCACAAATTAGGGTCCCTCTGGCTTGGATCGGACCTCATCGGCTTCAGGAACTGTGCTTCTTTAATGTTCCTCATAGCTGATACCAACTCTACTACACTGACGTTGAAGTTGTATTCTGATATCCTGGATAGGAAGGATCCCGAGAACATGACGTTTCTTTGTCCTGCAATGATCTGTTGCTCCGACCGCGATCAATTCTTCTGTCGGTAACGAACCTGTTTGCTGAACAGAAACCTCTGTTGCGTCTTTGGCCCGTTCGTAGGGTAAAAATCGACCCCTCGAAGACCCTCTATCTGTGTCAAAATCATCTTTTGATTTTTCTTTATTCTTCTCCCGACCTTTTGTTGATGTTGGGAAGCCAATCTGATCATCTTTGATCCTTATCTTGGACTCGCATTGGTTGTGAACATCCGCCCAAGTCGTTGCATGGAACTCAAGCGAGCTTTCCTTCAATTTCCATGAAGCATCAGAACTGCTCAGATTCAGACCCTTGGTGAATGCTTCAGCCACCCATTCATCCGAAATAGCCGGAAGTAACATTCTTTCCGTTAGGAATCGGGTGACGAATTCCCGCAGCAATTCGGACTCTCCTTGTGCAATTCTTGAATATGTCGGCTTTTCGATCCTGCACCTTTCTAGCTCTTGCATGGGCCTTAATAAAAGAATCCACGAGCATCTCAAAGGAATCTATGGAATGCTCGGGCAACAACGAATACCACGTCAAGGCTCCCCTCGTGAGAGTCTCTCCGAATTTTTTCAGCAAAATAGATTCAATCTCGTGGGGAGCTAAATCGCTCCCCTTCACTGCCATTGTATATGTGACAATATACTCTAGAGGGTCCGAAGTTCCATCATATATTGGCAAGTCGGGCATTTTAAACCGCTTCGGGATTAATTCAGGTGTCGCACTTGGTTTGTATGGCAACTGAGTGTACTTCTTTGAGTTCAGTCCCTTCGGTACCGGTAGTGCTCGCGGGATTCAGTCCAAGCAGGCGTTCACTTCCCTCATAAACCGTAAGAGTTCTCTTTTGAAGGGATCGCTCTCGTTGTTGTGACCGGATCCGCTCCCCCCGGCCCCATCAAAGCCGACCTCGCCTCTCGGGGTGTTGTTGTCAGCCCTCTGCGTTGTTTGATTTGCGGGAGCACCGGGAGGAGCTGGACCTCGTCCATTTGCATTATTGGAAGCACCGATAATACCTGTTTTAGTTCTGTCATAACATTATCCTATCATGTGAGATGGCCTAGAATGGCCTCTTATTGCTCCTGCAGGACCCTTACCGCTTCAACAACATGCTCCTCTTCAGCATCATCGGGAGTCGCCTCACGAACATGTCGCAGGTACCGCCGGTCGTGGATCGGCATGGCATCATTTCCCTCATTGTGGGTATCACTGATTGAATCATCGTGCTGAGGTTGGTCTCAGTGGGCCTCAAGGCCGTGTGTGTTGTTAACACCATTATCAGCCATTTTCTGTGATTTTCGCAAAGAATAGCTAATCAAACACGTTAGTAAAAGAGGCAAGGATCAACTTAATTACACAACTATTTAGACCCCACGGTGGGCGCGAAATTATTTACTTGTAAAATAGTACAGTTGAATTTATACGTGGTTTCTAGACAAATGAATTAATTTGATCCCGAAATAATAAAAAAATTGAAGAAATATGCAATACTTAGCCTTGAGATGAAGATGAAATAGCAGAAACAGTAGTTCCGAGAGCAAGGCTTCCGGGCACAACAGTAATGAAATAAAAAAGTAAGAAGGTAAAATTGTATAAAGCTTTGAATAGATTGTAGCATAAGTTTGCCAGAAAATTTCTCTCTTTACAATGACAACAGAGCTCACTATTTATAGCTGCACCTAGGGAACAAGGTCCTAGGATCATGCCCCTCTTTAATGTCAATTATGAGGGCCATTGAAGAATGTGTAATGGCGGGCATGAATGACAAATTCTTTGTAACGGACATTATACTAAATGTTGTAGAATATTATTCATTAAATGCTATCCGGTGATAGGCATTTACTGCATCTTTATGAGCATCATTCGTTCCGGTAACAAATGGAACAGTTTCGATTTCAGCTATCTTCTGACTTCGGCTCCACGTGTCACGTTGTTATGCAATTACTTAGCATAGCACATTTTACTCTATATAGTATGATAGCTAATAATCTTGTTTATATTATTCATCGGAGCATTTCCGCGTCACAAAGTGTCTTATATTATTAGGAATAACGATAAATTCACATCTCATCAAATGCACTTCTCGCACTAGGATAGTGATAATGAGATGATAAACTAGCCACACTAGTTAGGAAGCTCAAAGAAAGAATTGACAGGGCTATGACAATTGGGAGCGAATTTATTACCCCCAATTTGATAGCTATCTCTTGTTTCCATTTAGGGAGTTGAGGTGAAAAATGGTTTTGTGAACCGTTTGCCAAGTACCAGTTCGATTCACTTCTTGATTCTATGGCTAATCAATTTTGCCCATATTACGCACCAGATCTATTAGGCCAACAAAAGTATATCCACTTTTAAGAATGGGGATGATAATTGGAGTAAATAAACAATATCAAAAGGCGTCTTTTAAGAATATTTTTCATATACCAACCAAACACTAGAATACATTTATTTTCTAGGAAAATAGTTTTCGGCATACGGAACAAAGTCAAAACCACAAACATGAACAGAAATAAAACTCCTAACATTTTCAGATCAAATAAGTACATCGCATACTTGTGCATTTGCATTTTTAGCTGATTGGTTAAGGTGGAATTCTTGTATTTCTTTGATTAGATGTGTCACACTGAGATAAGAAGATCCATCAGCTTGTACAGCCCTTTTTGCCATTTCTCCAAGTTTTCTAGCTCTTTTTCTCATCTCGTTTCCTTCTTTCTCCTTGTCCACTACTTTTTTTATGGCATTCGTTACCTTTTTGTTACTCACTTGGACCTCATACTTCTCTTCCTCGCCCAAACGCACAAATCCAACACCCGCAGCAATCTTCAATACATGTACTAAGTACCTCTCATTTAGAAACTGCTCCACGTGATCATAGGCACACCAGCACTAATCCCTTCAATGGTTGAATTCCAACCACAATGTGTTAAGAATCCCCCAATAGCAGGGTGTGACAGAATTAGTACTTGTGGTGCCCAGCCACGGATTAAAAGCCCTCTTTCTTTTGTTCTTTCTTCAAATCCATTTTTGGATATCCAGTCCTCTATTGGTGCTTGTCCTTCTCCTGCTTTTATGACTAAAATGAATGGATAACCTGATGCTTCTAGGCCTAAAGCCAGAGCTCCACAAATTGTACAACCGGAGTACGACCAAGGCTCCCAAGACATGCGTACACAACAGACTCAGGCTGCCAAGAATCAAGCCATTTCATCAAATTACATTCTTCGGCCTTATTCCCTCTCTGAGATTTATCTATATTGTCATTGTTACAAAGAGACAAAGGCCCAATGCACCATACTCTACCATCTTTTAGTTTTCGGAATTTGTCAACGTACCTTTGTTCCAACTCCTCGAAAGTATTGATGACAACTCCATAGGCTCTTTCTTCAGCTGCTCTTATTTTGTCCCGAATATCTTGTATGGAAATGCCTCCTGGATTGAAATGCGCAGGCAGCTGAGATTTAGTTACTTCAATCCTATCTGGCAAATCAGGTATGACAAAAGGCCCTGATTCAGGAATTTGTTTTTGATCCCTCATGATGTACAAGCTATGCATGCATATTTGAGTGAAGCAACTCATTCCATCAAAAACGATTCTCG